AGATTTCTTAATATTCAGATTATGACAGTGCCTCAGTGTGACAACTGTCTTGCCTTCAAATGCACCACAAAAAGATACTGTTGCCTTAAGAGAGCAAACAACTCTGCTTGGCAGAAATAAAGCGAGTGTCACAGAAGTCACTGGAACATTTCTCACCTCAAAGACAAAAACGTGGGAGGAAGTGTTTACCTAACACACAATCTGGGAAGTTTTCCAAAATCTGCTTAAGAAGTGTTTAGTCTGACACAGTTCCCTCCAAAGCCCTGGGGACATGCTAGAAATATTCATACGAGGATAATGCATGAATGAAAAAGACTTACTAAAATCCTGTTCCAAACTATGGTTCATATCACTTTGTTTCAACACGTATCTGCACTGCAACCACTGAAACTCCAATGCAGCGCATTGCACTGTCTTCCTCAGCACATTCTTACTGGATGACACTTTATAGGAACATGTGTGAAATTCATACCAGAAGACGCATCTGTCACACATCTCTCGTACACCCAGGACTGTTCCGTATTTTCTTCTGATGTTCTTTAAAAAATTAAATCAAAAAAGAGACACTGCTGGTGACAGGACACTAGATGAGAGGGATATGTGAGCTGATTTAATATGGAAATTGCTTGCTCAGCTATTTTATTAATTGATACCATTAGCAATAACTGTAACCAGGGACTGGAAATAGCTCCTTTGCAATCAACAAGTTGTAGCCCTGCTGCTGCTTCATCAGGTCCTTTCCAGCTGTCCAGATAAGCTGGACACCATACCAAAAAAACACACATACAACAAAAAAACCCACCACTGACTCTGTCCAGTTATTCTCTGCATCTAGCTGGTCCACAGCATGTCCAGCTAAGCCTGACAGCAATCAGGATCCATGTTTCATTGCAATTTCCTTCTGAATTGAATCTTTCATCTGCAACTCCTGTTTCAATCTAGCAGTTCTCAGGATAGATCCAGTCATTATCATTCAATATATAAATCAAACTTTCCATGCTTTTGCAGTAACCTCTTCAGATCTCTAAACAAATCAGATACACTTTGTATGATTTCTTGTTTCAACAATACTAACTTCTCTTCATTATAAATTCAGATCACAGCATTTCAACTCAGTCACAATCACATTGTCTAGACATGTTGCTCCTGCATTGTGGAAGCAAACAATGTGAGTGGAGGAAGTGGTTCCACCAACAGCCCAATTCCTAAATTTAGTTCCCCTGTCTCTTTTCAGTCACAGCTTTTTGAGGGTAAGCTGTGCTATCTCACAATGCTTCTTCATTCACACACCCATTCACTGTACACAGGGAATGCTGACAGCATTGCACCCAGGCAGCCACCAAGCTCCCCAGATGAGAGCTGTGCAGATACTTCATTCACACATTTAAGGGGTAAAGAAATACATTCTGCTGCTCTTCCCCCTGAGGAAAACTAGTACAAGCAGCAGTTCTGGAGAAGCATAGCAAATATTGTTGTCTTTAAATCAGTAACCACGACACAGAGAGAGTAATGGTCCTAATGTTCCGTCTTCCCCAGTGCAGAATTTTGGTCTCAGGTCCAACCCAATCCAAAGTGGATTATTTCACAGAGAGGTAGAGCTCTTTTTAACTCGTATTCAATTTATGCTTCATGTCCATTTCTTTCACCGGAGTATTTTACACTCCAAATCAAAACCAAAAAAGGACATCACTGAGAAATTTAAAAATATCCTTCCTTATAGAAATAATCCGCTTCTGGTTGTCTCCGAGATTTTTTTAATGTTTGTTTGCTTTTAAGAAAACCAAAAGGGCAAAGTATAAAACTGGACAGGCAGGTCCAGGAGCGAGTGAGATAAAAATAAGCAACAATGCATTATCCTGTCGTAGGGACCTGTTTGTATCTTTTTATTGTTTATCACTATCATTTATGCTTATTTTACAAGTTATTATTTTTTCTAAGAAAGTAGAATTCCAAGGAAATAAACTTTTTATTTCTTAAATGAAATGAAATTCAAATGTATACAAATTCAAAACCACACATGTAATCAGATAAACCTAAATAATCTTTTCTCAAATCTTCATCTTTTTCAAAGTATTTAAACTTCAAAATGTTCACAATGTTAAAAGGTTGATTCTGTATGTGTAGCAAACAGACTAAAAGAGAAAGACATGACAACAATCTGCCTGTTATCCAACATGACAACTATGCTTCTCACTCAGAATAACCAGTCTCTCAGAAGAGTAATGTACATCACAGATTCTCTCAGTTTTCATTAGTACACTATCTCAATTTCTCCAGGGAAATTATCTTTGAACAACATATCACTCTGCCCTTGGAACCATCAAACTGACATTTGACAAAACTGTGGAAGGCTCCTAAGTTAAATTTAAAACTCCGTTAAACCTCGCCTTACACATCTCATTGAGCTTTAGCCTCCCACAGAAACAATCAGGAAGGCCAGCATCAGAGGCTGGTGGGAAAATTTCTAGCACTGGCCAGTATATTATACATGGAAAAAATATCCATCTCCTCTTTATCTGCAGGCAGAAAGGTTTAGGGAGTATATAACCTGCTATAACCTAAATGAAAAACAGAACAAACCAAAACCAAACAAAATCCATGCTACTGACTGATTCTTGTGCTCAGAACATTATTATTTTATAGGTAGATGTGCATGGGGGGGGGGGGCAGGTTTATGCCAATGTATTTGATTTTCTTCTTTGCCATCAGTATCAAGAGATGTGTGTTTATAAAACAGATGCAGCATTTCTCCAATCATTCTAACCCCATATAAAAACAGATTAATAAAACGACAGCTAAGATCATATAGATTAGCAGAAATTAAATAAAATAATAGATCTGTTTCTTAAATTATGTTTCTTAAATGATGATTCAAGCTGCAAAAAACTTAACACTTCACTGAAATCTCACAATAAACTCTAATCATCCACTACAAGTTATCTAGGACTCTAGGGATGAAAGTTGGCAGGGTTATGAGGACAGTTTGCTTCAACAAGGTCAGCTGCTTTTTTAGGTCAATAAATCATAACAGAAATTGCACCTCCAACTGCTGAACAAATGTTTCTGCATACCAATCACTGAATTCCAGTGAAATCAACCATAATGACAACTGCATAGCATAATACCCTTCCTTAAGCTCCCTCTGGCTAGAGAGATTTTCAATCAGTGATGAGTATGTTCTGATAGAAATGCCACAGTGGTCACATTTAGACAGTAATTTCATCACAACCAACTTCGCAGTAAATACATTTCATTAATTTCTGGAAGAAATAAACCGTATTTTTATAAGCAAGGTGTAATAATTACCCATTCCAGCACAAGCAAATGTGCTCGCAGTAAATAGACAATAAAAAGGAAGTGCTTATCTGATTCATTACTCCAATCAGTAAGCTTCAAATTTCAGAAACAAAATTTTCCAGCTGGAAAGTAACTTTCAACTGTGGTGTGCATTAAAGCACATCAGGAAAAAAACCCTGTCTTGCCAATCTTTTCATCATGAGCCACCTTTTGCCATACAGTTCGAAAGCATCCACATGAGAAACTTTTCCGGCATGTCTGAACCATGAAATGGGAACTGTGCTCGAGAACTTTCCTAAACTAGCAACCTCTGCTTCTATATGAATAGAGAACAATGTTGTGCAAGAAGTATACATTGACATAAAAATCCTGAAAACGTCAGATCTGAACATATTATAAAGGCAGACCGGACATTTGAAATAATTCTAGACAAACGTGCTGCATGACAACCTGATACCTGGAACCGTATCTGCAAATACAAAACTTTGGTAGCTGAAATCCACCTAAAAAGTCTTTGCAGCATATACCCTCCTTTATACTCCAGTCCAATTGAACTATGAAGTAGTAAACACTTTCTACTTTGACAATAACTGAAAGCAAGGTCTTTCCCTGCCTAAAGCAAAGCTCCTTCAGTACACGAAACAAAACTTTCTCAACGTTTCCATCATTCATTTCAGAAACTGAAAAATAAAGGGTGAGAACTGTCTTAAATACCTGTCACAGGGGGAAATAAAAAATAAAAAATAAGCCACATTCTGAAGGGAATGGGATAAGGAAGAAGCAGACGAACCTGCAGGCCAAACCATATAAACTTACTCGTTTCTAAAATAACAAGCAGATAGTTTAAGACTTCACTAACTTTAAACTTTTCAGCCATTCGCAGACATGAGAAAGAAAAATTAACATCAAGGCCTAATAAGAAACAAAAAAAGTTGACTAGATCAATTTTTACTTTGAACAAGCACCACAAGACAAGTAATAAGACTTTATTTTTATGTAATAATACTTTATAAGATAAGATTACTCAAAACCACTTCACAAGCACAAATGCTAGCTTAACTAATCCAAAACCTCAAAGAAAGAAAAACATGAGTCTGACTAGATCATGCTATACACAGGCACAGCATATAAAACACACATACGTACACCTCCCTTGCAGTTCTGTGCTGGTCCAGAATCTGGCCAGCACAAACAGCTAGAAGTTTACAAACCAGAAGCTGAACCACTCCAACTCATCCTATTATGTTTGCAGTAACAATAAAAAGGGTGATGGTAATGTATTAAGAACTCTCTGATCTTAGGTATAAATCTCTCTGCATTCTGTTGTTATTGTTCAATCCATTACCTACTGGGTTTGGTTGGCTACCAAAAAGTTATTTGAATTATTGAACTGCCTAAACAAAGATAAAGTAAAACTGAAAGAAGAAAAAAATCTTCACACAAAACAACATATAAATCGAATATGTTGTTAATAAACATTTTTTTCTTACAGACTTTTGACAAAAGCATTCATTTACTGTAAAGTTTTTGATCTAGAAATGGAATGACCAAAAACTTCACAACAGGGACAAGCAGAATAAAAACAGAACAACAAAAAAAAAAGAAGATATCCCTATGGAATCAAAATGGCCAAATAAACAAAGCATCAATGAAAACCTTCATTGAGGAAGAGGCAATTAAGTAGGAGAGCAGAAAATACTGACCTGGAAGTTAAGCTGGTTGGAGTAGGGATGAAAGCAGCAGTTTGGAGAAAAACATAAGGAGGAGACAGCAAAAGAGAATAAAGGGAGGAACACATTAGTTCTTATAAATATAACAAGCAGATGTTATATCAGCAGATTTTATTAAAAGAAAAAAAAAGGGAAAGAAAAAGGAAGGGAAGGGAAAGCGAGAAGTAAAATAAAATTTCTGTAGCAGTAAACCCTTGTTGTACACTGAATTAAACAGAAATTGTAAAATAAAATGGCAGCTTGTCATTTGTGAGCCGTGCAGTCATCTATACTTACAACCATCCAAATGCATGTACACACCAAACAGAACAAATAAATTAGGTGGATATTGGTAGTGCTTGCTGATGCATAGATGCCTCTTCCTATACCATGAATTTGTTTTTTGGACCAACAGAGGCTTGGTGACCCACATTCATCAAGTCTTCCCATGAAAGCCAAAACAGCTGAACAGTTTGGCAGCTTGTTCAAAGATACCATTTTGAAGTTCACAAAGCACTGTACCTAATAATCAAAGACAGAGATTTTCTCACCCCAAGTCCCCAGGAAATACAGTCCTTTCTAACCCCGACAGCAATTTTTTTCTTCAGTATGAAGAATAAGGCTCATACTTCGTCACTGAAAATACTCCGATACTTGGTAAACTGTTTAAAGATACCTAAATGCCCATTCAATTAAGACAGAAAAAAAATTCTTTGCCTGACACCCAGCTAGAAAATTCCTTAAAGCTGTCATTGGTGCCGATGGACGTGTTTTAGAAGCCACAAAAATAATTTTTTGAATGCAATTATTCCATATGCTGAGGTTTTTTCACTTATGCAATGAACTGTCAGTGCTGCGTGGACTTACTTTGTTCAGAATTCAAATCCAGATCAGTTCAGAATGGATTAATTGTAATCCCAACATTTTAAGATCTTAAATGCACATCTGTAGTATTACTACCCAAAACTTACCACTGCATATGAGAAGTGGATATCAAAAAACTCAAACTTCTCATTTAAAAACAAACTGGTTTTATCTCCTAGCTACTATAGAATTTTTAAATGAACTTTGCCACTGTTGTAAGATTTTCTGAGAAGCTACTCTCAATCAAGCAATGACTGACCATCTAACATACCAGTGGAGAAAAACAGATTCAAGATTTTGCAGTGTTCTCATCACTTACTTTCTCTTTTGAGTCTAAATTTATTAATGGATGATTTATAACCATTATATTATGTGCCAACACTCTTACTGAAATCACTCTTCTTTCACCGCAGTGCTTACCCCATCGCGTATTTATAGAGAACAAGCATCCCCACCAAGCCTTTGTTTCGCCAGAGAAACAAACCACTGCTGTTTCGACGACTCCTGTGACATGAGCACTCCATTCCTTTAATTATCCTACCAGCCCTCTCTGCACCTGTTTCCGGTTTTAATTCTCAAATATGACTGATGAAAAGTACACAGCAGTGTTCCACATGGAGTCTTGCTAGTGCTTGATGACATTAATACCTTCCTATCCTTACTGCAGACATTTATTCTGACGTATCAGGATTTACACCTCATTATTTATACGTCTGCTTCATTATTTAGATGGCTCATAATGACACTGCCCCTCTACTCTGCTCTCCTGCCCCTCTACTCTGCTCTCATGAGACCTCACTCACTTGGAGTATTGTGTGCAGTTCTGGTGTCCTCAACATAAAAAGGACATGGAACTGTTGGAACAAGTCCAGAGAAGGGCCACGAGGATGATCAGGGGACTGGAGCACCTCCCATATGAAGACAGGCTGAGAAAGTTGGGGCTGTTCAGCCTGGAGAAGAGAAGGCTGCGTGGAGACCTCATAGCAGCCTTCCAGTATCTGAAGGGGGCCTATAGGGATGCTGGGGAGGGACTCTTCATTAGGAACTGTAGTGACAGGACAAGGGGTAATGGGTTAAAACTTAAACAGGGGAAGTTTAGATTGGATATAAGGAGGAAATTATTTACTGTAAAGGTGGTGAGGCACTGGAATGGGTTGCCCAGGGAGGTTGTGAATGCTCCATCCTTGGTGGTGTTCAAGGCCAGGTTGGACAAAGCCTTGGGTGGCATGGTTTAGTGTGAGGTGTCCCTGCCCATGGCAGGGGGGTTGGAACTTTATGATCTTAAGGTCCTTTCCAACCCTAAATATTCTATGATTCTATAAGCAAAGTCACCCAATCTTCCGCTTCCTAAACTGTATCAAGGATTATCCTTAGTTTACAACAGGCAGTCTTACTGGTCCTAACTTCACAAACATATTTTGTCCTGTTGTATTTCACTTAATTTCATGACTCAAACTCCCAGGATATTTCATAAACATACTTTTCAGTCTAACACCATTAATGACAGCATTAAACAATATACTCCTTCCATTCCGTTTCAAATGCAGTCACCTCTCTTTGGCAAGGTGCTTCATATCAAAATTTAAGCTGATCGCTCTCTTACCCAGATTCTTCATGTAAATTATCAAAAAAAAACCAAACCAAAACAAACCCAAAACCAACAAATGAAGCACACACCAAAAAAAAAAAAAAACACATTTCCTTCATCAGGGAAACCAAAGAAAAACATCAAGCCGAGTTTACTGGAAGTACGTTACACTGGGATACATTGCATTTAATGTTAACCTGTTCCCACCATGAAAAGATAAATCCTGAAAGATGCAATAGAAGTTATAAAACAGCTTTAGTACATGAGGAGGAATTGGCTCTCCTATGTAGCAATAAGAAGTTATAAAATACAATTAATGCATATGGTGTAATTTAAGAAACAGACCAACATTTTTTTACATACGAGGAATAGTACAACTCATGAAACTTCAGTGATGCAATCCAGAAGTGTGATAGTTTCTAAGGTAAGAAAATTACATTAAAAGCCAAAGAACTGCCATTCATACAAAACCTTAAGGTTTGTTAATCATGTTCATCTGATAAATTTAATTGCCCATATCCTGAAGAAGGTATTCTACCCTTGAGTATTTGACACCTTCAGTGTCAAGACTTTCTGACCAATAGTAAAACATCAGTGTTCATTGTTTTGTTTTACTTAATTCTTGTAAGTTTATTACAATTTTTACTTTTCAAACCGTATTATGCTGAATTTACATGTGAATGTAATAAATATTGTAAAAATACCACAGTCCACAATACTCTAGATTACAACTGTCTCAGAAATTTATTTTTAGACATTTTTGAGAATTTATTTTGTTGCTATCTTGCTATGTAAAGATGTTGGCATAGCAGTGAACATGGACCCCAGCAAGCTACTAACCAAGAAGTAGATTTCAGAAGAGCATTTGTTTTCCTACAAAACCCTGGAGATGCCCTTACATCTGAAGTTAAGGGTAAAATGTTGATGATATGCTGTTTCTGAGCAAGAAAAAAAAAAAGGAGAAAAAGTAAGGAGAGAAAATAGCAACCTAAAGTACATTATATGAATTACAAAACAGGGGAACAAGAAGGAAAGAACATTTTCCAATATGCTTCTGTTGAAGTTGCAGTATTTTTGACAATGCTTTATTCCCATACAGCAGGTAAACTGAACTTTGGCTCCACCTCTTCTCTTCAATAATGAACCAAGCAAGTACTCATTATAAGCAGAAAAAGTAGTATCACTTCATAAAATCTTACATCAATTTACACTCCACCTGACACCCTAGAAAGGGGAAATTCAACGTCAAAGTTCCCTCTCTAGGGACACGAACAAGTGGCACAGTTACACACAGATTTAATCTTCAGGCCAATATTTTTAGAAAATAAGGAAAAGAGATAAAAAATAAATTAAATTTTAGAGAAAGCTAAGATAAGCCTGATTAGTAAGAAGGGCTGGATACCCACTCTCTAAAAATATTTCCCTTTTAGACCTTTATCTTGCTGTCAGATTGCTAGACTTACTGCACTAACCAACAAATTTGTGCCTGAGCTTATGCATGTTAGAAACTTCATCGCCAAGTAAAGGGAATAACTTCTGTTGATGAAATCAATAATAGGTATTTTTTACATAAATGCTTTTTTTTCTCATTTACAATAATTACCTTACATATTCTGTGTGTAGAGGAATTTCAAATTAATCTTGAAAGCTGTAGGTAAGTTACATCAAGTAAGAAAGTACATTAAAGCTAACAGAACTCAAAACCCAATCTTAGAACATGATGACCCCTAAAAACTGTAACATTCTACTGTCCTTAGCTGGACATGCCACAGATATCTTACTGTAAGCATTCTGGAAGCACCTGAGGGTTCATAGCAAAGCTTTACTTTTGCTTCACATTCAAAGTACAGTGTATCTTGTTCAAAAGGTCTGTGCAGTACCAAACTATTTTCTGAAAAGTTATTTCAGGATCAACACCCTCATCAACAATAACAGACTGGAAGGCAGAGTCCCAAAATGTCACTGACAAAAATGCATCAAATTTTAAAAATATATTAATACAAAAACAGAAAACACTGCCCATTACAGAGCCCACTGCAAGGTTCTCAGACAGTAAGAAGAGGTGGTACTCTGACAAGGCCAGAGGAACAGCTCTGCCTCCCTTGGCACCTTGTTTGTTTGTAACCATTGCTTCTCAGTCAGTAATTCTCAATTAAATTCAGATAAATCTACTACTCTATATCAATTATTTATACCTTTTATATAAAATACTTAAATTAACATTTACTAAAATTTTAGATCACAAGCTTCCCTACTTCATCGTGTTTATCTATTAATCTTGTCATTTTAATATTCAACCACTCAACACGTATGTGACTGCTACTCCATGAATCTCTTAAGATTATCCTCTTGAACAAAAGTTTATCACGCTTGCTATTGCATCTAGTGTCACACAATAATTCAGTAGGTTTTATAGCTCGATGAGGATATCAGTTACTGTATCTTTAAAAACTACACAGTGAGTTTCCAACACCTTGTTCACACCTGGAGTCACTGCATTACAAGCCCAGGTATGTACCTGCCCCTAAAATACATGTACTGATGGGTGTATGGCAGCACTTTCCTGACCACACAAATTCATTAACTGTGTTATATTTTTCCAACATGCCATTTTAGGATTTTAGACAGTTTAGGCAGAACTCTCAGTCATGGTGCCAAAGTGGCCACTCTTCATTACCAGCTTCTTCTGGTATCTACTTTACACATTCAAATCAGTGCTACTACAGTATTCTAATTTCTAACATATAACTGCTAATTAAAGTTGTCCTCATATAAACAACTCTAAAAAGTTCTATTTTGAGTACAAATCTTTTTTCACTTTAAGGTCTTGGCTCTCATGACACTTTGACTGATAACTCTATACCCTTCGGTTTTATGATTAGGAAACCATTGCCAGATGTCTGCAGAGATAGATAAGTTTTGGCAACAGATAACTGTGAACGTTGATAAGTCATCATCAGTAAAAGATGCTCTACAATGTCTTTCTTTCCAAGCTGGCTGGTTTTCTCCCCCTCAGGTAATGCACACTTCCAGCAGACCTTCCCCTCTTTCATGGTAATTCTACCTAACTGGACAGAGCAGTGCTTTGTCTTGACTAGCAATAATCACAAATTCCTTCTTTCATTCATGTAAGAGTGGCTAAGTACAGGAAGGGAACAAAGAAATCAGATCCACATAAACTGCTTATCAATCAAATAAATGGCAGTATACCAAATGGGAGAAGGTTCCCAGAATTATTTAGTTCTGAAGGGTAAGAGACAAATGGACCCCCAAAACCCTCCTGTCTCCATTAAGAAAAGATTGTACAACCTTCCCAGAAACAAGACAAACACTGCCTGGTCAGTGTCAGAAAACTGAAGCAGATAAAAACTAGAGAAACACCAAAAATAGTTACAGCTATTAATTAATTGTCATGGGACTGGTTAGAAATACTTACCAATACTTTTCGGGACCTCTGAGAACTGGTGTTGCTGTTCACACTGAAGAAGCATGTGTAGGGACAGTTTTAATTTACCAGTTACTAGAAAGACAGGACTGCCCTTTAAAAGGTTTTCTGGGAGGGTTCTTGTCATTGTAAATTGCATATGGCTTTTTTATATATGTTCCTTTTATAGAGACTACTGAAAAAGTAGAAAACTTGAATTGTTCCAAACTCAGCAGATAACAACTATTCTGTGAAAAAACACATTCTACACTTAACTTCTCTGCTCTGCAATGAAGACAAAGTAAATAAAAATGCCACTTAATGTAAGACAAATAATACAAGAATTACCTTTCTAACTCAGCAATTTTCTTATCTTTGTCGTTCTTCTCATTCTCTACTTCCTTGAGTATTTCTAGAAGTCTGTCAACCTCAGCCTGAGCTTTGCCACATTCTTCTCTATAGTATGATGCTTCTTTGTCAAGCTGTTTCATTCTGTCTGCAAATTCTGGATTCATCCGTGCCTCCTCTTCAGCCTCATGAGCCTTCAGGATCAAGATTTTTAAAAAGGTAAGGATGATGATAACTTATACAGCTTTAAGAGCTATAATTCAGTCTCGGAGATTGGTTTTTTTTCTTAAAAAGGATTATGGGTGTTTCTGTCTGATTACAATATTTTCTACAGAAGCATTATAAAAAGGAATGAAAGTAAGTTCATAGCCTAAAATTATACTCAAATGCTGTCATCCTGCAGGGGGAGGGGATTTCCTAAGGTTTGTTTACATATTAAAGTGACCATATTTAAAGGGTGTTCTTTAAATTAAAAAAAAATCTACTTGTAATTTAATTCACATTAAGCTTTTAAAGTGTTTCAATTATATTGGCAATTTCTTAATAAATCATATTCTCTCTCTTTCCCCGTATATATACACACACTTTGTCCATGTGTATATATGCACACACAGATACACATATATTGTAATCTGTATCACCAGATGTTTCAAATGTAGTTTGAAGAATTTAAAAGGAAGAAATCATTTTAGGCAGTGTTGTTTTTAAAAGACAAACCAGTAAACTACAAAGTTGCTTTCAACAGACATTTTACCCAATAATCCTTTTTCTCTTATTGTTTATACTTGACCTGAAACATCAGAAGAACAAGCCCATTGGTGTAAACAGCACAAACCTGGCAAACACATGCATGGATGGGTGGCAGTTTCACAGACAAGAAAGAAGGCAATGAATACAACAACAGCAGTGCAGAGCCCAACCATACTCCCATCAAACCTAATGGCAAAAACCCAATTAACTTCAATGGGAGCATGATCTGGCATCAAGTACTTTAAACTGTTGGCTGGAATAATCACAGACAGATGGAAACAACAATGCACTGCAATGCTTAGCCTACCCCTTGCTTCCCATTATTCCTAATTGGCATCTTGAAAGAGCAGGCAAGGAAAAAACAAGTAGTTTAAGGCAGTGCACATTAAACATAGAAAATTCAGATAACATTCTCTTAACATACAGGAATTATACAGAAATTCAGGATATTTAGAACTGAAGGTCCTCCGACTATCTGATGGTGCAGAGAAGACATGGACTTACTTATCCTTCTCTAATTTCAAGGAACAGACAATGCAAGCAAGCAATGAAAGAAACACAGGTCAAAATGAAACATGCATGCTTTGGGAAAAAAATAATTTAAACTACAGATACTAGAAGGTTCATGTTCTTTGCAATGGATAAATTTTTCTGTATAAATAAGAACAAGTCTCACTGATGGTAATTACAACAATTAAAATGTTGAAATTACTAGGAAAGAAACTTAGGGTGTTTGCATGTAACATATCATTTAAGCATGAGGATAATAAGAAAAAAAATAGTAGGTTTTAAGTGTTTTTTATCCTACTGTGAGATTCTCATTCAGAAGAAATATTTCATTACCAAAATGAGCCAAGGGAACAACATGAGAAGCCTACAATCCAGTAGCCTTGCTCTTCAAACTCTCTGTTTTGGATGGTAATACATGCTCCAGCCCTGAATCCTAAGCAGATACAGGACTTTCCTAACCCAGAGTTTGTTTCAAGGCAACATCCAAAGAGTATCTTGATTTTACTGTCTGGGTGAGATGCTAACAACCGATACCTTTTCATCCTCATGTGTCTTCCTGCTTTACTAATAAGCTTTGATTTATTTTATACCAGGTGTTAATTGTTTCAAGAAATTTACTCAGGGCCAATTATGTGAGAGCTGTGTACTAGTTTCCAGCTGCAAAGTACCTCAGTTTTCCAACACGCCTATTAAGATATTAGACAATGTTTTATCTCTCAAAAATTAACAGTTTTTTAGCAAAGGATAAAAATAATTCCATTGGTTTGTAAAGATAAATTCACTTAAGGAAAAATAAAATTAAAAAAATATAATAATAATAAACCCAGACAAACAACCCAGCTCACACCTTTAAGATACTAAGAAACCTCTGCAAAGAGCATGCTGTTCCCTATTGCTCTTCAGATTTCTAGGGTTAATTTTGAATTTCCCAGTTCCCCTCAAGAGGCTATCACTCTTTCATATTCCTGTCATCTTTCTTTCCCTTCCATTTATTTTAGTGTCTAATTCACTTATTTACCAGCCTTGCTTCCATCATTTCATAAACAAGCAAAACACCCACCTTCCTGCCTCTAACCAGTCTTCCTCACTTTAGCATAAAAGAACTCCCAGCTTCAGCTCTTTTTTCCCGAGAGCCAAGGTGCCAAATGTTCAGCTATCAAAGAACATTCCTCTCACACAGCAGATCAGAAATTTACTGAACAAATTATCTACTGCATGGCTTATAACTAAAACATCACCTGCTGTATTACATATAAACTATACTATTTAGTTTAGCCCTATAATCCTTGCTCAATACCATGCTTAGGAAATTAGCTTTAAGTTGTAGAAGTATTTTCAATTCTTGTGCTTTCTGTTACACCGATGTTGCTCCATATTTGTGTGATGTGTTTTTGGAAAATTCTATAGGACATACTTGGTCACTCTATTTCCCTGTGGTTTTCAATATGTAGCAGAACTTGTAAGATATGATTAAAACCAATGTGATTAAGTATCCAACCTATACAGGGTTTTCAGGTGCAGCACAGATCTATAATATCACATATAAACCAATGTAAACGTTCAGTTCAAGGACAAAGATGAATCTAATCTTAAAAAAAAGAAAAAAGATCCCAGTATCCCAATATTGCAAACCAGCAATAAATTTAGTTGCCTCTACTTTCACAAGTATTTCCTACAGAATATTTTTGGACCATTGGCAGGAATCAGATTTCTTCAAGGGTATTGCCTTAATGCAAGGAAAGGAAAGTTAGATAAAAAGAGAGATAGAACATTTAACATTTTTAAAAAGAGCTTTCTGCAGGTGATACTCCCTCTAAGGGAATCCTCATGTTGTAAACAAAGCTGCTGATACTACAAGAGGGCAAAGCACAATCCATCTGACATTCCCAGGACAAAGGCATAGAATTATAAAAGCCCTATTATATTTATGGCTTTGAAAGATGTGTTTGGATTTGAACTAGGCACTTTTTTTTAATTGTTATATACAGATCAGGGGTGATTTGTTGACAGATGGAACTTGACTTCTGAGGTCAAACAGTAGGCCCAAAGGAGATGAAAGGCAGCTCACAGATATTGACCCTGCTACCACCCAGACAGGGCAGATTTCTTTGGCTTGTTTTGCACTCCGGCTGTGGGAGACAGGCTTGGATCACTTCTAGCCAGAAGCTGCATGGTTATCACAAGAATCAGTACGTCTCTGCCTACTACTGCTGTCCTCTCTTCTATCCTTTTTATCATTTCTGTCGCCCCCTTTCCTCCCTCAGTTCTCTGTTTTCTTGGACAGAATATATTTTCTGTTTTAATGGTGATTCTATGGGTAAGAGCAAAAAGTTCATGCATACCTATCAGCAGCCAAGTAACTGATCTCTTAATCTATCTGTAAATTATAATACTGGTGTGTAAAGATTAAGCTAGTTTCAACCTAGAACACTTGGTTTATGAAGTTTGTCTGTCAGTCTTGTGACTATGTTGTATGTTATTTTTACAATTCAATAAAAATAGCATATCACTCTACCATTAGAGTCTCACTAATTTTTACAGTGATTATGTATCTGCTCTCATATTTGCTTAATAAGTACTAAAAATATTTTAGAAGTAAAGGAACATTTCCATAGGTAAACCACAAATTTCCTACAGAAACACTGTAGTTATATGACACAGACATGCAACATGAATTATTTAGTCTATATGATACAATCATGCACACATTATTCTGCATAACAGAAATGTATGGATACAGTATTTCATTTTTAAAGCTTCAGACACAAATATACACAGAAATCAACCAAGTATTTCATAAAAGGAAAAAAAAAACAGCAGAATTTACATGCAAGAAATTACTTTGTAAGATCCTTCAAATTTTATTACTTTCAGTAATAAACTAAAAACAAAATTGCTCTAATCTTAATTTTTTGTAGTCTCCTTATTAAGATTTTCTATCCATTGCCGTGTTTTAAAAAACTCAGATGCAGCAATAAATGAAAGTCCTGGAGTTGATACCTGTATGACATAAAGAGGTCTCCCCAGAAATTGACTGTTTTTTCTCTAACGCATGTGAACAGAAAAGCATTCACATCTCAGTATTTTAAGACTAGACTGTAATCTGGGGTTTTGTAACACTATTATTCTCAACAACAAAGGTCAAGGAAACATTTTACGTTTGATGATCTGCAGTTATTAACATTTCAAGTAACTGCTATTATGCCCTCTCAAAGAACAAAAGTGAAATCTTAGCCTTGCAGAATTTGAAGAATATGTTGCCATTAACTTCAATCAAATCACAATTTCATTTCAAGATCTTAGGTGGTTTTGAGGGAGCAGAGGATCATTGCTACTTACATTGTTAAAAATAGGCTGATACACATATAAGCAAGAGAAAAAAGAAGAACAAGAAAAGTTTACTCAACAGAACCTGTCTCATGGACGCATGACAATTGCTGCCTGGTGCCAACGGAAATGGAACTTGCATCCATTATTTTGGAACTGCCAACAGGCTGTCCTTTTGAAAATGAAGCACTTAAAGGCAGAAAAAATAAAAACCAAAAAAGGACTGACTTGAGAATACTGCACACAAATAGACTAGGAAGTAACAAACAAATTCCATACAGCAGAATAACTAACAATGAAATAAGGACTAGAAAGCATTTATTAAAATCAAGATTAAAACTAAGACAAAAAAGACTCCAGTCTGAAAAGACAGGCATAGTGGGAGTGCAACTGATACAAATAGAAGAATAACTACCACAAAGGTGAGCCAAGATGATAACAGAAAAAAGGGTTTTACTGTTCAAAGGGAAAAAGCTCTTTGACCATCAGCGTGCTGGATGGTGGAGGTGATAACATCAGGGCTTATGCTACTTACAAACAATTTATAACTGGATTCTAAAAACAGTTAACCAGTAACTTTAAAAGTAAATACAGCACATTCTGTGGGACTGTTCTTCCCATACAAAGGGCATGACATTATCTATTACAAGGTTAGAAGTTACAAATCTTAGCACTAATAGACTCCAAAGCTGGAATCCTGGTCCATGGACATTCAGTCAAGGCAATTATTTTCCCTAATGCAAAACACCACATTACCTGAACTACAAAACCAGTTCTTCAATAGGTACAAACTATGATTACTAAGTACACTGTAGCTTGTAAATTTCTATTAGAGTTACATCATTTGTTCTGTACTGTGATGCTCACAGCACATTAAATGTAACAGTCACAGCCAAAACAATGGAAACTGTTCTCTGCAGAGACAATGGTTGTTACTGCTCTTCCTCAAACTGAAAAAGGGACACAGTCAAGTCAAAAGCATAGATATTGTGCAATTAAAGCAGATGCTGGGAAGAATAATAACACTTAAAAAGCCCAAGTAATACTGTTTGGCTTAACTGCCCTTTGCGTTCATTATTTTATATTTCAGCACTTTCTTTGATTAGATAGGCTTGTTTGCATATTCTTAATGTATGTATGCTGAACGTATACAGCCTTTTGAGAGTAAAACTGATCTGTATCATTTTAATCATATGCATTTTTTAAAACAGTACTAGTCACTTCCTAGATACTATTACTTGCATAATCAACTCTGTTACTTAAGATAAACTGAATAAACGTTATCTAAGTTTGAAGGATCAAATAAAGTACTGCAGAAGGAGGAATTAAAAAGCAAAGCAAAGCAAAAAAAAAATCATCTGCATGCTTTTTCTAATGGAGAAGTTGAGGACCCAAAGGCTAGGATGTTTTTTTTCTCAGAATTGCTGTAGGTACCTATTTAACACATTTCATATTTTAAAAATGGCCTTGAAGTCCACAAAGCTCATTTATTTGGGTATCGTGAATACAGCATAGTGAGCATCAGAAGTATCCAGCAAAGCTCCACAGAGGAAGGGCACGAGACAGTAAGGTAATGGATCCTCATGCTTTCATATGTTACAGCGGGCATTTTAAAGAAGAACTTACTGGATTGTACATCTGATTGAACAACTGTTCAGCTTGCTACATTGCAAAGTTGGAAGGGAGTGAAGCACAGACAGGAAGAGAAGGAAAGATCCAGGAAAACAGCATTAGCTCAACAAAACCAGTGCATTTGCACAGAAGAACTTGTCATTAAAAAGTAGAAATTTAAGATTCTAAACATTCCTTGGTGAAAGTGAGAGGCACTGGGGAAACATAAATGTTGACTTTGGCTCCTAAGAAAGAATAGCTGGAGTAAGAAATGTAAGGTTTGTGTTCCTTTCCCTTTCTCAAGTTAAATAACCCATGAAATAAAGAAAGGTGTCCACTTTTGATGATACATTAAGTGCTGGTCTCAAGCAATGAATCACAAGAAGTGCTTTTGGCTGAGGCTGCAATTTATCACCAAAGCTTCAAAGACGGTAATAATAAAAGATTAATTAAATCGTATCATTAAATTTATTACTTTCTTTTTGTTTAACACAAGACTGAATTTTCTATGCAGAATGATATTCAAACAGTACAGCTGGGAAAAAAGTACTTTAGCAACTGCAGTATGTCAGTAAGCAAGTAAATTTAAGTTAATGAAAAACAACAAAAGGAGGAAATTTTAGAGTGGATAATAAGATTATATACATATACACACACCCACATATATATATACCACTTTGCTACCTATTAGGTAATTCCTGCTGTTCTTTCAGTAGTAGCAATACAAACTAAGTGAAAAAAACTGATATTATGGCAAAAAAAAAAAAAAAAAATCATTGACAATTCTCATTGGTTTATGATTTTTTTTCTACTTTTATGAATTTCATCCAGAATCTCTGTCACGGAAAGTTTAATAAAGATGTCTACGGTTTTAAACATTATTTTGTGTACAAAAATACAGCACAGTCGCATGAATAGTTACTCTTTATGAATATCCTATTTATTACTTTTTGAAATGCATCTACTCCATAGAATTAAAATACTGGGTTTAGAATCAGCATATTTTCTTCTGCTGAAATTAAAACAATCTAGTTATGTGATACTGAAAAATACTGGGTGTAATCAGACCAAATAAGAACTATCTTTATTATCAATAAATGAATCTTATTCTCTCCAAAACCAGGAAGGAAACAAGGGAAGACAAACTTTTAAATAAAGTTGTGGGTTGTTTGTTTTGTTGTTGGGGTTCTTTTTAATTTACAGATTATCTTTGGACTTGACATATATTCTTTCAGGAACAGTACTTATTACCATCGGTTCTCATGGAAAACTAACTCCTAGCAAATGTGCATGGAATGCTACCTTCATATTTATTAGTTAATTTGTTAAAACATATACATCAAAACTAAATTATAATAGCTCTATAATACCACAATGAAAGTGTCTCCTCTATAATATTTCTAGAAAGGAGTAATGGATAAGCTACATTTAAATTTCTTAAAGTAACAGAGAGCCCTTTGGAGTCAATTTGGAAACGAGATATAAACTGTACCCATTCCTTCTACTTTTCATAGTGGTTAATGTTCATACATAAGCACACTTATGGGACATGCAGGTTAATTTACTCTGAACTATGTTGATGTTCCCTCCTACTCTAACTCAGACATATGCAGGAATAACCCCAATTTCTGTTTCAGTTAGTTTCCTAAGAAGTGAAAACATGGTGAAGGTAGTTTTCTGGGGACCAATTACTTTTAACACAGGATATTTACAGGTTTGAACATAAAGTATTTTATTAGAGAGAATGTGAATTGAAAATTACTGTTTGGAGTCTACTATCATTAACAGTCACTGTTTCTGTTCAACTAAACATGCCCACAAAGAAGGTTGTAACTACATTTTAATGTGTAACTACATTTTAACCTGGTCTCCTACAAATGTTGGATGAATTTCCATTGGGGCTTTACACTGCATTTATGATATAATAAACCTATTATGTTTTCAACTTTCATTTAATAATCCTTTGTATTTCTGCGCAGGGAACATACTCCCTTTTTATACAAAAGATGGCCAGACACTGTCTGACTTTTATAAGTGCTTATTTTTCCATGACTCTATGATGTGTATATATGTAAGGTCATAAAAGATTGACTTAGGATTTCAAGTCCTTAAAGAGGATTTTTCTTTTTTTTTTTCTTTTTTTTTTTAGTGATCTGTGTTTTTAGGGTTTTTGTAACTATTTTAAATGAAGAAAATAAGATATGTCAGATAGTAATGAAAAATATTTTGTAGTGAAGTGCAAAGTAAACAAACAGATTTTATAACAAAAGAAAATAAAGGACTTCCCAAGAAATAGTTTCTTTGGATATTTTCATTCTGACATCAACAGCATTTATAAGCTATCAAACATATAAAGTATTTGTGTTTCCATTAAAAGCTTTTGTATATATTTATTGATAAAGATTCCCTTCCTTCCTCTCTACAACCAAACATTTAACACAGACACCTAATTGCACATACTTATTCTGAATTAAAAATAATAGAAGTGTAAGGTTACACTCTGGTATCCTTTATACTTTGCAACATCTTCTTCATGGGTAAGGCTATTGAAACAATACTTAAACACGGCACAGGATACTATTAACCTGGGTAAAGAGAGTGTCAGAACATTATCCTAACAGTGGCAACCTTCACAGAACAAATAAGCAGTCTTTTCTAGAAAATGAAACATTAGATATCAATATAAAAAATTAAAGTTTGACATACAGTTAATCATGAATTGCAGTGGGCAAACATAATGCTTAAACCCATCAAATACATCATGAGATTGGTTTGAACAATGAGAGCAGACATTACCAAATAACATAGAAACAGGTCAAAGAAACAATGTATGGTAGAAAAGGCATCAACAAACTTGCAGATGCATTAAGCAAAAACTATTTGGATGCATCCATTTAAATAAAACCACGTTATAAAATGCAGGATTTGTATGTTTTCCTTTAAATGCTTGCTTCCATTAGTTGCTGAATATAAATACTGAATTGCTAGCGGAAATAAACTATGCATTATTTCACTTAATTATCACAAATATGCGTTCACCAACACAGCCGAAAACATGCCGAAATAAAACCTAGCTACAGTTTCAGTTTTGGAAGCAGAATTTTTTTTTTATTAGGAAGTACAGCATTCTTGCAACGAGCCTTTAATTTTTTCCCATGCTACAAACATTTCAGTCTACTTCTAAAAGATGCATAAACTCACATACATAGAAATTTGATAATTTCTTTCTGCTCTTCTACTTTCCCTCTAAGGTCCTACTGCCAGTTCATCTATTTGCAGCAGCTTCTCAGAATTCCCTCATATTCAGGATAAATTCTGAGGCTCACTAGTGGCTTTGATACAAACCTCATAAGAAAAAGTTAGCAGCATTTGATGCAAGCACCAGCAAATAGTGTAAGATGGCTAGATTTTAGATTTACTCCAGAAGATTTTTTTCCAATTGTTGTTGTTGTGGTTTGTTTAAGATGGAACTTACCTTTTTCAACTGTGCTTCCAACTTACTACACTCTTCTTTCTTTTGTTCTATGGCTATTTCTAAAGACTTAAGTTTGGAGTCTCTTTTCAGCCCTGCTGATGCCAATGAAGATGCATGTTCTTTGAGATCGATTAAACTAGACTGAAAAACGACCAAGAGTAAACAGTTAATTCCTAGTCACCAGGACACTACCTTATTGCCAACTCAGTGATCACTCGGATCCTGTTCCCCCACCCCTTCCCCAAAAAGAGTTGACACAGAGATAAGCATTTATAGCAACAGACACCATTTTGAGAATACAACCAATTGGAATCACAGGAGCTGGCACGGACTGAAACACAGAAACACTTGTAATACACACAGGCTGACATTATATTCTGGAGGTACAATGACTTTGAATTCTATTGAACTAACTGACAAACGAGAACAGGAGCAACGCTGGAATACTTGAGCATACTGGAGGCTTATATAAAGGAATAAGTAGAGATAATGACACACAACTATGCAAGAACTGATACAATATTTTATGTACAAAAGTGAGTACTATGAAGAATGATTAAGAAAATAGCAGTCCAGAAGCTGACCACTGAAGTGGCAGAATTTCAGTACTTAAAATAATTCAAGAGTAATCCTAATGCACTTTCTTCCACCACAATAACATAGATAGAAAAGCATAGATATTACTGGAAAGACTGACCTCTTTTTCCGTCAGTTCAGCTTGTAAAGCATTAACTTTCTCCTTCAGGTCTTTGTTTTCTTTTTTATAAGATTCAATTTCTTCAAGTCTTTCTCTGTCATCTCGCTCTCTTTGCTCCTTCAAGCGCTCTATTATTCTTTCCTAACAAGGGAAAGAATTGCAAAATGGAAAAGTTGGGAATCATTTGAGAAAAGAGAATAAAATTTCTTTACATTAAGTAGCACTTAGAAAACTCAACCTTCAGAAGAAGAGTATAATTATGTTAATGGTATTAAAGTCCATGCAAGATTTCCCCTGATTTCAAACGCATCAGATCAGTTTTCAATACTTGATAAGAGTAACATAGCACAGAAACGTCATTAAACGTCTATACCGATATGAATATGTTTGATCATGTGATAAATATGGAAAGTTATTCATGTCATTAATGCATTTCCTGTATTCGTAAGTGACTGAAGTCTTGAATAACAGTTCAAAACAGAGAAGTCATGACTGGTTTACTCAGCTTGAATTTGGTTATGTTTTTTGAATTCTAGTAGACTCTATAGTGCTTGCAAGAAGTTTTCAAGGTTCCAAATCTATTAGAAATCAATCACTTGCTAACCATCAGTAACTTACAGTTTGCATGTCTTAAAAAATACTTCAAGAGGAAAAAAGAGGACCAATATTTAAAATACTGTTTCACAGAACTGGTCAACATGATTGAAAACTCGTATTAGAGAGAAAAAGCTCATGCTAATTCCTTCCGTTCATAATTCCTTATATTGCCATATATATACAGACACATGCACACTATATATGTATGCATATATACACACATATATGTACATATATATATACACACTTATACACACACTAACTTGAAGTTTAGCTTTACCTGAGAGTATCCATACAGCCTCATCTGTGGTTATACCTCAACAAACACTACAATGCAAGCAACATTTAAGCAGCTGTACATCCCATTCTAATTTGTAATAAACTCAGCTGTTATGATGAAAAAAAATATTAATTCATTATTGAAGTTAGCTGAAGTGGAAATAGTAGCATTAAAAAGCATATATCATTCAGACAGTCCTAGTCTTTCATTTTTCTCCATACACTAGATGCGATGTTTATTAAAGCCCCACAGGATCTTCTGAAGACTGTTTCTGTGGTTTTTTATGCTCAAGGCGTAATTTGCAAAAAGCCAACTATCAACACATACATGCATAAAAAGGAGCCTAAAATCAAGGCTTTGATTTTCATTCCAGCAGACTCCAACCTTGGAGATAATCAAAACCCAGCTGGACAAGACTGTGGGCAAATTGCTCCAGTTGACTCTGCTTTGAGCAGCTGGGTTGGACTAGATGATCTCCAAAAGTCTTGGTTCTGTGGAATAAGCAGAGACATTTTACAGATTCTGTACCTCAAACACTGGCTGTTTCTCCTCTCCTCAGTCTCCCTCCCCTGTTTTCACAATTTATTCCTTTCTAACACATCAGCATTTCTGGTGGCAAGTGTCCACTGCCTCTGCTTTTCTGTTCCTCCCTTCATACTACTTAGAAAAGGAACTCCTTACTAGGAAATGGAATACAGTGTTTTCAGAAGACAGGTAAGTTTTCTGTAGGTGTTCCCTTTTATTTTCAGCTTCTATATATATATCTGCCTTTCACAAAGCATCTAATGAAGATCTCCCATTTATTCACTCTCCTATCATTTAAATGCTGTTTTATCTGCATGTATAAAGTCTAAAACAAATAACCATTTTCTGTATGAACTGAATAAATATTCTGTTATTTTAAACTACTGATTTAAAAGTTGATTACACTTAAAATCAATTTTACTTTAATGGATCATACATTTCCCTGAAAATATTTAAATGCCAATTAAAGAAATAGAAAAATTCAGCTTCTAACATTTATCATTACTTATCTGAAGTCTCTAACATTTGTGGTCACTTATTAGACAGCTAAGTGTAGACCACAGTGTAAGTGCAAGTAAGCATATTAGAATTTTAACTTAAATCTTAGTTTTTATATTTCCTTTTTTGTTTTAAATATTTTTAAATTAACTTCTGCAATACGCTTACATAGCAAATGTAAAATTTAGCATGTAACGTGAGCTATTAAGATCAAGTATCAAAAGCAGATGTGCGGTATTAATCTTCGTAGATGCTGCTGTATAACTAGTCTATTATTGGATGTGGAACTAGGGCTAACTGAAAAATGTGATATATTTCAAATATATCCCTTATAGAGCCACTTAAAACATTTATCTCCTTCTGATTTTTTTTTTAACTTCCACATATATAATACTGGCTTCTAGCTATAAGAATTTGTTTCACCAATACCTATCACTTTAAAAAATCAAGTATTTTATACTGTATATATATAAAAATAAATTATTAAAATTGAATGTTATTAGAAGGTTTTAAAACAATTAGATTAAAATCTTTACCATGTAAGTAGTTATATTTGAGTTTGTAAATAAATGTATTTTGAATCTTTTAGACACCAAAAAGCAATAAGCACTATACTGAACAATGTCAGAATAAGAATACTGGTATAGCTATTTTTTTCTGCCTAGTTTCTGAGGAAAATTTTTTCAAAAGTGTGGAAGTTCATAGTGATACTTTCCTTTTGCATTTAGCATTCCCCTGACATCAGGGACTACTTTCCCTAACTGAACATACATGTTAGGAAATTAGTGTTACTGTTAAGAATCTTCACAGAAAAGTGTTGACTACTTATATAAAACTCGCATATCTACTTCATTCAGAAACAAATACACATTGATGGCATAGTATGTTCCAGTTTGCACACAGTAAAAAAGAGATGATCAAAACTAGAGTTAGCAGGCTAGCCAAAAATCTATTTCCAAGACATTATCAGCTGTCTATACACCGATACCTCTGGAACTGCAGATGTAGACAACTCCTGGCTTCATTCAGCCCAATGGCAAAATCTCCCTTTAAATCACAGCTGTCAGGATTTCAAGATAGAAATGTGCTCATACAGAATGAAGGTCCTTCAACAGCACACTGCTGAGTATTACACAAATGACAAACCAGCAAATATATTACCTTTTTTTTTCTTTCTTTAATTTTACTGTTTGCTGGCTTTTCCTGATATAGATTATGTGAGAAAGGGATGATATATTTTAAAAGGGAGAAAGGGAGGAGCTGAGGAACTACAGGCCAGTCAGTCTCACTTCAGTACCAGGCAAGATCATGTAGCAGATCCTATGCATGTTAAGTACATGGAAAATAAGGAGGTGATTGGTAACAGCCAAAATGGCAAATCGTGCCTGACAAATTTGGTGGCCTTCTACAACAGGCTACAGCAGTAGTGAATAAGGGAAGAACGACTGCTGTCATCTGCCTGGACTCGTACAAAGCATTTGATGCTGTCTTGTACAACACAGTGGGTAAATTGTTCAGCCTGAAGAAGAGGAAGCTCTGCGAAGACCTTAGAGCAGTCTTCCTGTACTTAAAGGCATCTAAAACAATGCTAGAGAGGAACTATTTACAAGGACATGTAGTGATAGGACAAAGGGGAAATGGCTTTAAACTCAAAGAGGGGGGATTTTGATTAGATATAAGGAAGAAGGTCCTTACTGTGAGAGTGGTGAGGCACTGGCATAGGCTGCCCAGAGAAGCTGCTGCTGCCTCATCTGGGGAAGTGTTTCAGGACAGGGTGGATGGGGCTTGGAGCAACCTGGTCTAGTGGAAGGTGTTCACTGTGGCAGGAGGTTGGAACTAGAAGATCTTTAAGGTTCCTCCCAACCCAAACCATTTTATAGGGTACTTCAGGTTATTCTGAGTAAAAAAAATATAAATCCTTAACCCCTTGAATATTAGTGTTAGAATGCCAGCCTTCACTAAGTGGAATGGTTTAATAACCATTAGAATGCACCTAGTGATATTCAGACTTAATTTTATACCATTCCCTCTTTAAAATTTATTTACCTATATGATTCTTTTTCACCTATAATGAATTGAATTGATTGAATACTATTTCATCTGATTAATGAACGGTATAATTCTTTTCTCAGTCAATCACAAAAGAAGACTAATTTATCTGTCAGCCGCATAAGGCTAAATGTCAAAAATGTGTTAAAAGGCCCTAATATACCATGTTTTACTTGATTAACAGCTAACTTGCAGAAATCCCAACAATGTGTTCTTGTTTCAGTCTTATTTGCATTGGCAAGCTTTCCTTATGCACTAATCTAGGACCTCACAGGTCTAATCTATTTAGAATTTTTATCACAGAAGCACTTTATCACAGAAGCAGGAACTGAATTGCCACAGCATATAGCTCCATTATCAGACATACTCAATTGCTTATCTGCTGTATGCTGCTACAGTAGGACCAACTTTATAAATATCAGCTTCATGAAAGCAACCTCTTGAGCTGCTTTGGGACAGTCCAAGAGCTGAGATATTCTTTGAAAAGCTTCTTGTTAGAACATCAAGGAAGCTGATAGCACTTTTCCATATTGTGATTTTCAAACTGGTTTGTTTTTTCTAAAGCTTTTTTTTGTTTATTGCATTGTAATTTATTGTTGTTAATTATTTTCAGTATTTAGGAGAGGGTCCAAACTTAGGGCTGAAGGACTTAATACCTTTTTCAATTCAGTTATAAAATGCACTCAAAAGTGACTGCAGTTCTGCTAATTTGTTTCTGATTCCTGGCAAGAGAACAAATTATACCAGTAATATTGCCAGGATGACCCAAAAATTTAAGAGTCCATTTTGGGAAACTTTGATGCTGTTTTATGATGTCTACAATGTTTTCTCATTTATTACCAGTTACCTAGTCACTAAATATGAAAGAAAATCAGAGACAAATAATTGGGAAAAACTATATTCATGAAGAATAAGGAGCCACAGTTCCTAATTGAGAGCCAAAATCTCAATCTGAGTATTTTCAAGAACAATGCAGGAAAAACATGATGCTCAAACATTTGAGTTTTGGACTTTAAAAATAGCCTCATAATTCATTTGTATCATATGATCATATCTTTTCTTCCAATAGAAACTAAGAAAAGCAATTAAATTCCATTTTACTGAATTGTGGTTAACCAAGCTGCTATAAACTTGATTTCTGTTTTAAAAGAGCTTCTTGGAGTATTACCTTCATTATTTTTAAAATTAAAATTCGAAAAAACTGTTGTATTGCCAAAGAATTAAGGTAAAGCCAAAAATTTCACCTAATCTTCAGCTACATTCAGCTACAAAGTTGGTCTGATACAATTTCTAGGAAAAACAAATAAACAAAAACCAAGCAATGTATTTCCATGGAAACCAGGTGTGCTTGAATGAAAGCAGCAGCATCCTTTCTTGAGAGCATTACAAATTTAGACTTATAAAAGTACTTATATTGATGCACTTGTTAACAAGAAACTATCACTAAAGGGTTCTTGTTATCTCCTATTTGGACAAAAATCTATTTCTACCAGTATCTGCAGTGGAAAAAGTAAATAAGTAGTAATAAAATCCGTAGGTCTTAAGAATGTTACTGTAGATGGGAAAAGGAATAAGAAAGGTTACTGACTGAGAGCAGCCACGGTGAGCTGGAATGCTGGACACAAATAGGAATGACACACATACGCAAGAATAAAATGTCAAAGTATTTAGCTGCCAGAAGACACCATAAAAGTAGACATACTAGTTCATTTGGCGCTTCTATAAGATGCCTGCTGGCTTCTTTCAATGTGTAAGTACATCCCAGAGACTGAAAAATCTACCTTGAATGAAATTATGCATTATTTCTTTGTATAACAAACAATAAAAATCATAGAGAGAAGCTTTTACCATGGAAATCTCCTCTTCATTGTGTCTAATGCTCTAAGATCAAGTTACCCTGCTTCTCAAAAGCTGCGTAATTAATTCTGCTCTGCAGTGTCGCTTTCCTCCTCCTTTTTTAATCTAATATACTAATCATTCCTCAACTGTAAAAAGATTTGCCAGCAATGGGACTGACTTTTAAAAGTTATAAAGCTCATTTCTTAGAGAGGGTTTTATTTAATAATTCTGTATAATGTTTTTCTAACAGTAACAAAGTACCATTTCTGAAGTAAAATAGAATGATAAGCATCACTAACATATTGAGTATTTCCCTTTATAGACTGCCACCTAACTTCTAACAATCTCACTATAAGTGATTGAAACAGTCACCAGAAACCACAGCATAACTCAGCTTCACACATCTCGAAAGAATTTGCTTACAATAGATACCATTGCCTTCATCAGCTGCAAAAAGATAAAAATCTCTGCCAGAGGAAAACATCCCTTCCAGACCTAAGCATCCTGTGATTGATTCTATGAATCATTGTATGTGTGTCTCAGAGCAGCCTGCAAACACTGCAGGAAAGATGCCATTCTCAGCTGACTGGATGTAAGCAAAGTGACTACTTTGCACAGAATTCAACCTTACGGACCCCATGTGAGTTCTAATCAATTCCACTTGGAAAAACCACTAATCACATTGATTCTTTTAAAAAGTGTCTGTTCATATATATCCACACAAGTCCAAATGAAGTTGACATGAACTGCAAGAACACATTTCAGAGAAGCATCGAAGTTTATCAAATTTTTTGAAAATATGAAAACTAGCATCATTTCTTGAACTTTGAATCTCCATCAAATCAATGAAATAAAGCTTGACACACAATTTTCATACCATCAGCGTCTCTAGTGTTGCCACATTTCAAGTTATCATATACCCAAAGAAACTTTACAGCACAATTTTTAATCAAACTCTGGGACAAATCCTCACTACAATATTGAAAATATCACATCCTGAGTTTAGTAAAATATTACTATTTGTATGTCTGATATTAATAGAGTATTTTATTTTCAGATACATACTGAACTTCATCAAGATTATAAGAACTTTTTACATTTACTAACGAGTTTACATTTATTTCAAATGTTTTTAGAATGGTAGGGGTACAAAATGACTTGAGAACAACTAATTGCCACTCATTAACTTAGGTTAGCTTTTAACCCAGTACCTCTTAATCTTTTGTATTTCTGGTAATGAGAAGGTGACTATATACGATCTATTCAATAGCTCCACACTAGCTGCTTCTACTCTGAACCCTGGCAAACTGTCATGAATTTAATATTTTCAAGAGAGAAATAACATTACAATTGAAGACAGATTGCAACTTAGCAAATTACCCAGCTAAGAAGTATTGCATAACTGCACTTTCTCTGAAGTGCTGCAGATATAACTGAGGCAGAAAATGGGATACAAATGGCTTTTGACAATCTACGCTCAGTCACACGGGAGAACTGGCAAGTTTGCTGTGAGACACTCACACTGCTTTGTACATTGACAACAGTAGCATCATGGCTTTAAAATCTCAGCTGCCTCTATGAGCATTTTGGGCAAGCAACAATGTAGACTAATCCATAAAAGATCATTTACATGGAGGAAAAACAGACTGAAAAGTACTTTGTGTCATTTTTTTAATCATATGCAGTGAGATTGGTGAGTGCCCTGTCCAGATTAGCATGTAACTTTCTTTACTGCATAAATGCTGTAAACTTATCTGTATGAAGCCACAGAAATAACAGTAATGCCAACTTTTTCACTGTTGTTAACCAAACAAATGTTAGTAAGATGATCAAACATAGCAAGAAATAAAAAAAATCCAACATTAGCATTTCAGGTGTTAATGCCAACACCACCGTGGCATTTTAGAGCCATATACAGTCATAAATACCTTCATAAGATTACACACTGCAGAATGGCACAGAATACGTTAATTAGTTGCACTCATCTGTGCGCATTTAAGATATATATATATATAAAAAGATCTGTAAGCTATAAAAAGTGAATACTTGTACTATTTTTTTTTTGGCATACAAATTCCCTTGGATTACCTCGTACTCAAAGTCAACTGAAATAAAAACCCTGACATCACTGGAACTGGTAGGAATGTTGCCACTAATTTAAACAGTCTAGATTTATCCCTTTTGCTATAGGTATTTTCAAATTAAAGGCATATAGCTTTTAAAGAAAACAAAAAACCTCCATTCTTTTATGAAATAAACTTATTTATAAACTAACTGTAGGAAACCAATAGTGCTAACAGCAAGCCAAGGCAACAGCTGGTACAGTCACCTGATGTTGCCTCTTCAGTTACGCTTTGCTTAACAGACAGCAGAATAAGACGATCAAGATCATAAAGTCATAAAAATGCCCCAGACTCTACCTTCTTTAAGTCAGGTGTTCATGCCTTTCAGTTCTTTCAAGGAACACCCACCCATTCTATTGACTAAGAGAAAAATTTCCCATCTCCTGGGCCACTTACTCCATCCCGATTTAAAAGGGCATCCTTCTTTACCACAGAGCCATGTTTCAGTTCATCAGCTGGGAATCACTCCTTGCCCATCCTACCAGAGCAGAGGCCCCTGCTTTCCTGACAAGGCCCATTTTTAAGTTGGTGTGGCTCCTTTTGAAAGGTCCACACCAACTTAAAAAGACATTTTATGGACACACTTCACCCTTAATAGCAGCACAAAATGCTATTTCATGGGAAAACATTACCTTTTCTGAGAGAGCTTCTTCTAAGGTTGCTAGTGCTGTGTCTGTGTTACTAGAATCCGTCTGCAATGACTTCACTCTGTCTTTTAGATTAGTTAGTTGTTTGTCTTTGTCCCTAAGTTGCTCCTGTAGATTTTCAATCTGAAAATAGAAACAGGTTAGAATATTCATCAGCCTTGTTTTAACACTCAAAGAGTGGGTGCTAGTATCAACTGAATGTATACATATTACATGATACATATGCCTTAGTACACTGCAAAGTTTTTACATGGTATAATGTCAACAGTTTTTAATTTCTGACCTTCCTATTTTGTTTTCCTTTGCTAAGAAGTATTATTTTCTAATAAATTATAGGAAAAATCTCAGTGGGGTCAGGTATTTTATTATTTAAATATTTTCTGATATTAATCATTAGTTTAAGGTACTGCATTATCTCAGTAATTCAAAGTATGTGTGGAATTACCCCTTTAGATTATTCTAGTTGCAATAAGAAGCACAAAGAAAGAGAGAGGCAAAGCGAGTTTAGTAAGCCTTAAACTGAAGAAGGACAACCTACCTATCTAAAACCCTCTTCTTCCATGGCATGCTGCTGTAAAGGAAACTCACCTGGACAGAAATCAGGATGCTTATATTTCAAAACCCAAACCCAGAAACAAGAAGAAAACAAACCAAACGCCACCATTTGTGTTCACTTTGTTCATCTTCATGAAGATTTAAACTATGTCACTCTATTTTGGGTATTAAAACAGCTTTAAATGGATGTAGTTCTTCCTCTAGTGAGTATTTAAACATATTGCTAAGGTACTTATAAACACAGTCATCTGTTAAACAGGTCATGATTTATAGTGGTTAAGTCAAAAACATTTTGCACAAAAAGTTGTTCACAGGACCGCGTAGATTTTGGAAGCAAATCTGAACAGAAGGACTCAGCTTCTGATTATCATGGCAATCGCCTTCTACGGCTGATGACCTTCTGGGCATAAGGCAGAGATGATGTGGTACGGTACATCATGTGTTCAAATTTTATTAACTGTCTGTCGGAAGAACCAACATCCCTCCCCTCATCCTACACTCCTCCTGCCACTCACTATTATGCCACTTGCATAAACCAAAAACTGTTCCATAATACATATAACATTTGTTCTACAAATAAAGAGTAACAAGAAAAATAAGTAGTCTATTATTTATTCTATAGAGTCTTATAATAATAAGCCTATAGTATTTCTACTATTTAAATAATACAGCCAGATATGCTTAAATCCATACAGTGTCACCTGTTCAAAACAGGTTTTAAATATGCTGTTAAAATTAGAGAAATTATTACTGTCAACAGAGATTGAAATTCTTACTTTCATCGGTGATTTTACACTTTGGATCATGTTCTGTTGCTACTGAAATCAATTTTTGCTGTTCATTTCATAATGAAATGTAATCTTTCTCATGGCCAATATAACTTCCATTTAAAGAAATTCAAATTTTAACAGAAGCAGGATCCCTCATAATTACCATTAATTCTTTTACGAACCTGAAGCTGAATTCAGTGCCTGTGCAGCTCTGCAGAAGTCAATACTTCAGTCAATCAAAATTTAGTCTCCATATACAAAAATGCATCACCATAACCAAACACACTTTAATTTGCAGCATACTTTAGTAAAAATTCTCCTCGTGCTGTATTACACGTGTGCATGAAAAGAAGCCTGAAGTTAAGCTTTGACATCATATATATCTATAATTAACAAATCATAAAATCCAGAGTACAGCTGTGCGCACTGTATAAAGCTTGTTTAAATAAGTTTAAATTTTAAAAGAACTTAAATAAAAATTAAAAGTAAAAAAAAAATTGAAAGTCAGTTTGGAGGAGCACATTCTAATTAGAAATTCTTTATAACAGTATGGCAAATACAAGCAGCACTGTAGAACTTTCGGGTTTTTCTACATAGTTTGGTATGTCAGATTGCTGCTACAGCCAAAGATTCCACTTGCTCTGTAAACTATAAAATACTAAGGTAATTATAGAAAGGTTTTTGGGGAAGACCTGACATAGAATAGCTCACTCTTGTAAACCACCTCTCGTAACATTTTTCCTCGTGTGTATATTTTATACAGATACAGAAATGCGATACATGTGTTAATGAGTTAAGAACTTTTTATTTTATGGCATGTGTATTAGTCACATCTAAAATTACATTAAATGGCATTCAGAGGACTGCACACTATGTTTCTTTACTTTCAGCCAAGTATTAACGATTCCAACAACTACCTCATGACACCCTGTGGAATACTTCAGCAATTGCACATATCATCAGCACCAAAATAAATTCTCCAGCAAAACGGGAAATAAAACAGGAGAGTGCATATTGATTACATGTTCTTTGAAACAAAGTTAAGATCTGGTCCTTTATTACCATCAGTTTGACCTACCAATTCTAAGCAACCTAAATTAAAGTACTTATTTCCTATGCACAGTGCTTATCTGAATTCCACAGCATTTACACTATTTCCTTCCTCTTAAAACTAATTTAAAATATGATCCAACCCTTAACCAAGAAAACATGTTCCAAAATTATTCAGCATTTACAAAATTCTTTCCTCAGAGGTAAAGAGAACAGGCAGCAAATTAAAAACATCCCCACTGAATCACAACTACTTTAAAATAAGTCATTCAACACATAGTCCATAGATAAAATAAGAGGAAAGGATCTGATTATTCTTCTATTTGTGCTATAGAAATCTGAAGGAAATACTTTGATGGGAACAGGACCACACTGGGGTATGTGAAAGTAGAATCAGTACCACAGAGTATTTGTTTGGTTGTTGGGATGGGCACGGGATTATTAGTAAAGAACTGCTACTGCAGACAAGATTTTATGACCAGTTAAGCACAGAGAGTTCTCTCAAAAAGATTACGGGAGACAAAGAGATCAAGCAGTCTCACATGCTAAAATGTTGGAACACAAGATATGACTTCGTTTTTCCTGGGTTTTTTAAACCCAGAAAGAACAACAAACCCTCTGGTAACCTCTGTCACTCTCCAGCATATATTTAGGCACAAGCATATATGCAAGGATACAATTTTATTGCTGAATAATGACTTACTTTTGCACATGTCTGAATTTAATTTATGCCAGGGACTGTTAAGACATTCTTAATCCTCAAGCACTTATATTTTTATCTGTTAGGAAATTACTTACTGTGCAGTTTTGTCAACACGTAATTCTTAACTCTGTAAACTGCTACGTCCCTATGTCGTGAACTGTCTGAAGAGAAACTGCCCCCAAAATTTGTTCTGTATTTCATAACATGTTTATCCCCAGAAACAGACTTTAGTCCCTTTTAAAAAACAACGTCCTTACAGATAGATGTTTTTCCTACGAGGCATCCTGTCAATAAACTGCAAGTGCTAATCTCGTCACTTTTTGGTGAGGTCTCAGAAATGTTTCATAAATACTCAAGGGATTAAATTAAACCTCACCCACAGACAGATTTTTAAATTCTATAGTAACCCAAGTTCTCAAAAGAAAATTACTTTCATTATCAAAATTAAGGTAGCGTACCAACAAATCTGAAAGAAAATTCTATAATAAAAGAAAATGTTCCATGTTATAACAATCTGCCTTTAGAGATACACATTAAAGTGTAAGAGAAAAGTTATCAGAAGCTTCCTGGGCCTAGCTAGTGAAGCCAGGAAACCACATACTTTCCTCCCAGCTCTGTATCTGAGTTTTAAATAACTCAAACAACAAGTTCTCTAAGATGAACTCGTTGAGATTAATTCTGTCTTAAAACACAGGTCATGTCTGCTCCAGTGAGGTAGATCAATAATACAAGTTTAGTTTAATTTTAATTTAGAACACAGGGGAGGAAACAGGACATTTTAATCTTTCATATTCACTACTTACAAAAAGAAAAAAAAAAAGCTCCTCACTATTTTAAGGAAAAAAAATCTACTGAACAATTTCCCAAGTACTGGTACATTCAGCTTTGAACAGTTAATGGAATTACAACAAAGAGAGATATAATAAACAATGGCATTCATTCACCAAAAGCATTAACTATAACTACTTTAAATCTTACCACTCATCTCAAACTTATGCAGGTGCCTCACAGATATACATAAAAGACAAAAAGTTGTATCTATTAATGAAAATAGAAAACAAATGCTTAGGTATTGTTCAAAGGCAAATACTCTATATGTCTATATACAATTTATTTTTATTTGTAAGACTCATAATAAATGTTCTGTCTCATGTGATCCTTTTCAGAAACATCTCAGTATATCCCAGAACATGAAACCAGCTTTGGTAGTGACTCAGTAGAACAGAAGAAGTATGTACAGATGTCCTAACATCTCCATTCATTTATGTGTGTGTGTACATGCATAATTTGTAACGAAATACTCAAGAAAAAAATGAAATCATTTTTCCCTACCATGCCTGTAAAAATATTACTACCTGAAAGCTCACTATACAGAGGCAGGGTTTTTGGCAAGCACTATAGGTCTTCAGCCAGAAATTTTTATCAGTTATTAAATATCAGGTCAGCCAGAATATTTAAAAATTAACAGGCCTTACCACAGCTATTTGAAGCTTCACCCTATGGGGCGAGAGGGGGAAGCTATGGCTCCAACTAACATTCATGATATGACCTAAATACATTTTTTCAGTTTAAACAGGATTTCAATTACCAGAATGAGTTCATTGAAGGGGAACTTCAACAGTTTGACATTGCAGAATGGTCTTTTGTTTCAAAAGAGACTAGCCCCCAAAGTGTTCCATCATGCAGTACTGCTAACTTTCACCTTGTTTTCCTTCCTTTTAAGCAGGTAGACAGAAAAATGTTAATTAGGAATATTTTTTCCAAAAGTCAAAATACATATAGATTCAAAAAATTAAAACAAATGTTACCTTGAAAAAATATCCTATGATATAAAGCTCTCTAAAATGCTATAAAAATGGGAGTTTGCTGCTTGCAATTAAATATATCTATTAAAGTATAAGGTTTAGGTTTGCACTAATCTTTGGTTTTTCCAAGGTAATTGGAAAAAAGCTTGCTAATCTAATCATGACATGATAAAATAATCTCAGATTTCATAAGTAGTTCCAATAGCTTTCATTATTTTGCTCCACAAGACTTTTTTAAAC